ATGTTGTTTAATCAACTTTTTTTTCTAAAAAAAAAATCCTTATTTAAAAGCAGAGCTCTCAGGTTCTGACCTAAGCCTAACCAAAAGGAGGCATGGGGAGGGAGGGGCTGAGGAAAAGTAAAATAAAAATCAATGAATCTACGCTAATAAAGGTTATAGGAGTGAAATTTACACTGGATGCAAGTATGATCTTGTAGTCTTTTTATTTTTTTGGCATGCTGCCCCAGCATGATTTACGTCGAGATAACATGATGGAGCCTCCACCATTGAAAGGAATTAAATAAAAATGCAATAAAGGAGTACAAAATCAATCCGCTTACAGTTTTGTTTAATAAAAATTCATGAAGGATGGGCGGGCAGGCCCATAAGAAATACACCAGTTCAATGAGGGGGCTCTATCAAGCCAACAGCCATTAGAGTGTAGCAGCAGGATAGGATTATTGAACATTAGCATGAGTTAGCTGTGTGCCAGTGTGTTGAATATGCCTCAGTTCCCCCATCATTCCAAGCTCTGTCATTGCTGCCAGTCAATAGTGCATCTATCACCTGGAATAATGGCCAAGAAAAGTACAAGAGATGGGGATTTGACCTTGACTGAGAAGCTGATCCATGGGGATTTTCCAATAGGGGAGGGATTTTTGTTCAGCTGGGGGAAAAAAAAAATGTATATACACCCACACATACACACAGCTGGCACAGTGCGCCCCTAGAAGTCAGGGCTACCTGTGCCTTCCCCAGGCTGAATTCAGCCCTGAGTTGTCACAGTTCACAGCTGCCTGACCCTTCTGCCCTCAGGAGTTTTTTGCTTTAGAGGTAAATCTTCATTTTCCTATCTACATGCTGAAGTCTGAATACACAGGCAAACAAACAAACACCCGAACAAACGAAGTGGTGCCCTACACCACTGCAAACAACGAATTCCCAAGCCCGGCTGCCACTCCAGCTTCACTACAGGAGCTGGGAGACTTGGCCTTGCACTTTTCTTCCAGTAGGCACCCTGAATGCTATAGCTTACTGCCATCTCAACACAAAAAGGGGCATTTTGTGGCCACAGGTTACACAGATGAGCATGTGAGAACAGAACAGAGCCAGCCAAATCCACCCAGCATTTCTCAGTTTTTCACCTAAAGAACAATTTGACCGATAATGGAACAGAGATATTTCAATTACTCCTGGAGCAAGCTGCCTCATTTTAGTAAAACTCATTTGCTCCATCCTAAAATCCACATTCTTTAGTTTGCCTCCTATTATTGTACGGGGTTCAAGTACAGACGTGTGAAAAACGCACGTGTGCACTGCATGAGCAAAACCAAACGTGCGGGTCACACATGAAACATTCCCACTGGAAGTGCTCAAAAAATATGTTAAGTATGTGATGTCACCTAGTGGTCAGGACACACAGGAGACCGACAGTTAATTAACGTTAATTCCTCCATGAGATGAAGACACGCTGAGGCCTCCCAGAACCCCTACCAAATACAGACTGCCAGAGGTCGGACGAGATAGCTTTCGGTTTACGCACCTGGGACTGGGTACACACAGAGCAGAAACACTGGGATGTGACTCATTTCCTCCACCACCAGTAAGCAGGAATGCTCACGCTGCTAATACTGAACTCCTTATTCCCTGTGCTTGATCCAAGTCAAAAAAAAAAAAAAAAAGTTAAATGAAGCCTTTTCAACAACAAGAGTGATGATATCATGTTGCAAGTCCACAGACACCCATGAGCAGATAAAAGCACAAAACCCATCAGTCACCATAAATTATCCCCACGTCTGCCTTGTGCTCAGAGCTTCGTTTGGGGCTCAGCAGAGCACAGGGCAAAGCCTCCAACACACCTCCACTTGTGCCAGCTGGGTCCATGGGATCTTGCGGTCCACCCACACCCCCTCTCCCAGCTGGGTGAAGGACCGTGCCCGGGGAAGCACTTGAGGCTGCACCTTCCACACACCAGCCTCGAGACAGCTCAGCTTACATACACAGCAGTCGCTTTCCAGATCTCTCTGCTCGAAGTACTCATCACCACCCACAAACAAATAAAAGGCAAAATGCCACATTAGCCCATTCCTTCCCCAGTCAGCTCCTGAGCTCCTCCAAAAAAAGCCCTAGGCCAAGCAAAACGGCCCTGCCAGAGATTTCCTGGTAGGCTCTTTCTCGCTGTTCCAGTACGTTGACTTGAAGGACAATAACCTCCTGCTTGTTTAACAACTTGTCCCTGCTGTGTAATTACACTCCTTTTAATTGGCATGCGGGGTTTAATCATCTCTTGGGACCCAGCTTCCAGCGCTTCTCATTAACTGCCGGCGCACACTCTTGTTCTGAGGACAGGGGGAAGTGCTCCAGCACAGTGCACAGGGGAAGGGGCTCTCCATTTCAGAAGCTAAAGACAAATAGCAGAGCTTACAGCCACATGTAGCCAGTCTCACTGCCACATGCACTCCACTGAGTCAGTGAAGTCCCGTCCATAACATGCCCAGCCACCTCTGCATCCCTCGGGAGAGGCAACCGGCCCTGCTCGCATCCACGTGAGCTGCTCGAGAGAATTAGAGAAGTGCGAAGGCAGCGGTGGTTGAGGAACTGCTGCGAGGAATCCACTCGGCAGAAGCAGAGAACAGAGCGCACGCCAGGGCTGTGCTGAGCCTCTTACACCTGAGGAGTGGCTCCCTGTACACACAACCTCAGCTGGTCTAATATTTCTCAAAGGTTTGCAAATTTAAACTGTTCTCAAAACTGTCAGAAAAAATAAAGTGATACCCAGAGCCACGTTAAAGTTTTCTATTCTATGGGAAGTGCCTCCTGCTCCACTCTGAGTGAGTACAAGCAGAAGGCTCTGTGATGTCGAGGGCCCAGAAAACAAAGGACTTGCCAAAGGTCAGAAGGGAGCAAGTGTGGAAGCAGCCACCAGGAAGCCAGCAACAAAAAGGAGGCCAGGCAGTGGAGGGGCTAAAAGCAGAGCTGACTACTTCCATACCCCAAGCACCCCACCTTGCCACCCTACGAGCCTGCGAACAGCTACCCCCACGAAGCACCAGGAGGCAGCAACATGTTTCTAGCCCAGCCGGGCCTCCTAGGATGGACCTGTGAAAGACAAAGCATGTTCTGAAGCTACAGGACAATCAGAATGACTTACCATACTTGCAAACCCCTGTCACACTCTGCTTCTGGCCTGCAGATGTTGGAGAAAACTTCTAAGAATTAAATTATAGTTACTATTATAAAACATTATGAGCCTTGGCATATCCTTAATTCCCTCTAGGCTACAGAAGAAAACTTTTCTTAGGTATGCTCGGGCTGTCAGCAGAGACCTCAGACTGACAGTACCAGGGAAGAGATGGGGCTGCAATGGGCAGCTCTTTATGTCAAAGAGCTGACCTCACTCACAGTTTTCCTGAGGAGGACCTGGGCACGCAGTCATCCTTATACCAGCTTTACACTCAAACCCAATCAGAGAAAAGCTGTAACTTCAGGAGTTTAGGAGTATGAACTCTAACAGTTCAAAGGAAGACTGACAACAAACAGTAACTATTGCCAGGGGGTTGGTTGGTTGGTTTTTATTGATTTCTTTCCAAACTCAAACCTTATTCCCCATCTTTTATCAGTATAAAAAAGGAGAGGGATAATAGATGGAGGGAAGATGTATTTCCTAACAATACATGTATTACATGGTACAGAAATCGTCATCAAAAATCACCACAAAACAATCAAGACTTGCAATGCTTCTTAAGCAGAAGTTGATTTTTCTTACTGCTAACCCATAAGTACGCATTACCAACTGGATGTTAGCTGTACGCCCATCAGGACACGTGTCCCCCGTTCCAACCACCACCAAGCCACCATGCAAACAACCTGTTGGTGGCACACGTGATTTACCTTTCATCTTCTCTACATGAGAGCTTTCCGCATCGCCAGCCCCAGCTAGAGGGGTACCTCACATCTGTAGTACAACTGGCTGCAACACGTTATGAAGGCGATGCAAAAAGCCTTCCAGTAACACAAACTAGTGGCAAATCCCAAATAACCACAGTACAGCCACAATTTCCTTGGAAGATAAAAGTTGCTGTTTTCCTTCATTGTAGCTAAGATCTCACAGAATTTGAGCACAGGCTCTGTTTGTAATATAAGGTACAAGACATAAGATTTCATGATGTACTCATGGCAGCAAAGCGGGCTGCACAGAGGTTTAGAAAGCCTCCACAGAGAGAACCGCTGCGTTCCAGGCAGTCAGCACACCAGCAGCTGTTCACAGAAGGATGAACCAAGGACACGATACACCACAGAAAAATGGAAAAGGATATTTGACATCTGGTGAAGAAACAACACTATGTTAAACTTATACTGGCAGGGCCTTGAGATCCAAGTAGTTTTCTATTACTTCTCAGCCACGCTCGGCAGGTTTGTTTGATTTTTCCATCAGAATCCTGCAGCTCAGTTCGCTTTACCAGAGGGGGAAGTTGCTGGGAAAGGGACTGAGAAACAAGAATCTGTCAAAGAGTTGTTTTATTTCCTACAGCACTGGCTGACTGACCAAAATCCTATAAAAAAAAAAAAAAAAAAAAATCAAATTCAGGAAAAAGCCCTGAACGTGTCAAGGCTTTTGGAACAAATGGCACAATAGGTTTTTCCTGTAGCTATAGGCATGTATTTCTTCTTATTTTTTATTTATTTATTTAAGCCCCTGTAACACACCATTTCCCCCAAAGGGCTGCAAAGGTTCAAAGGCTTTGAGAGCACCAATAAATCATGACCACATAAATGTCCTGTAGTGAAGTTTGATTCTTATTTACCCGGGGTCTTTGGGCCAGTGCTCAGTCTGTGTTGGAGGAGGCAGATTTACTTCTCCTGAGATGCCCTCAATTCACAGAGTGCTCATCTTTCAAGCAGCACCACTCCAGGCCTCAGCTGCCAAAACACTTTTAGCTGCAAGTTTCCATCATTTGCTTTATCACACTTCCCTTTCCCCTCCCAGATACTGGTCTAAACGAAGTTATGTTTAGAAATACCTTGCGAGTGGCCAGACAGAGTCAAAGAACCTCTGTAAATCACTGCCGTACACAGAAGTTCAGCCTTCAGAAGACTTTCTCCATACACCGTCCTCAGCTATGATTTCCTCTCTACAGCAATGCTTACTGCACGGCATAGCAGGAAAGCTCAGCACGCCTACCTGCAGACAGGGAGAGTGGAGTATGAGAAGCAAGGAATGTTAATAGCAGGGAAGATGAACTATTTTAGATGAATTGGATGTCCAGTTGCAAAGACAGCACCCACTTGTGGCCCACAGGCAGTCCGGCAGCGTAACAGCCCGCCCCACAGCCCCCATCCATCCAACTGCACCAAGAGCACAGCAACCACCAACAGAAGTCCCAGCAGTTTGATTAATGGCAGCACCTGGTCGGGGAGCCATTTCTCTACATTTTTCCCCCATTAGGTTACTTAATCTAGCATGGTGCACTTGTTAATTATTTAACGTCGGTGAATATCTGCAGTATCTCACGGATTATTCAAGATAATACAGTTCCAGGTATTCACTAGCAATTTGTGAACAGAGTCCATGTTAGTCTTAAAATTTGAGAAAGTCATTCAGTCAGGAAACGGAACCAATACCAAGGAAAGGAACCACTGACTTGACAAAACTTCAGTGCCACAGGCTGGAATGGCTTTAACCACGTACATGGAAAAAATGACAACAACAAATCACACCAAGCAATTTGGCTATAAAACCTGACCCTGGTGATGGGAAGCATCACAGTTCCATTCATCACTCATTAAATAGATCCAAGTTTGCCAAACTTAATAATTAAATCACCTGTTTGATCCAGTGGACTGTGACTGGGACATAACTAGACATAACTTTGGGACATAACTCTCAGTTGCAGAGGCAATGCACACAGAAAATCCCCTCCCCAGAAACGAGCAGCCTTGAACCCTGCAGGAACGCCCAGAGCTCTGCCTTTTAGGAAAGGCCCATTGTCACTAACAGCTCAGAAACCTGGAAGGGAAATGCTGGCAAAACCCCAACAGCACATCTGAATGAGCTATAACCCAAAAAACAGGTGGGCATAGTAATCTGCAACAAAGAGCACTTTGTCCCTCCCCAACCAAAAAAAATATATATATGCTTAAGTGAAGATCTAGCATGTCAAATTAAATCCATTTGACTTATTTAATTTGCCTTAGCTTTCCCATGAGGTTTCTGTGAAGGCACAATAGGCAGGCTTAAAACAAATGAATCCTGCACACAGCCACCCAAAAGGGCTGTGAAATGAGGGACCTGCAGAGGATGCAGTGTCAGGCCCAACACATCTGGCCAGGAAGGAGGCTCAGTGACAAAAAGGCTCCAAATATTCGTCCTGGGGCAGTCCTGCCCAAACAGGCAGGAACCAAAACTCAGCATCAGTTTGCTTACAGCGAGAGGAAAGCAGCTCCTAGGGCAAGGGCTCCGCAGCACCAGGTCTGGCCGAACGGCAGAAATCAGCTCAAGGCAACGGGGGAGGTTTGGCATCTTCCTGTCTTGTACGTGAACAAACCTCCAAGCGCTGGGCTGCTGCTTAGCAGCTCACAAACACACCAAAAACTTTTCCAAGGGAACAACTGACCCAAGGGAACCAGATCGCAGTCCGTTTCTGTAATAATATAACTCAGCTTTGCATCTTTTCCTGCCTCCCTCTCTGAACTCAGGTTGATCTACAGAAGAGTCACTGACAGTGAAAACAGAAAATGTAAATTCAGAGGAAAGCACACAAAAACAATTCATTGGTCGGAAATTTTCCCAACTCTAACATGAATCAGTGTGGACAAGAAGCTCAATCTATTAAAGACTAGATAAAAACCATGCAAGTGCTACCCACTAGTGAAAGGCTTCCCCTCTCAATCCCACTATCAGCTTGCCTCAAGATGAGGGACTCTCCTGGCCACAGGACATGTTCTTTAGCTAAATTATGAAGCCAAGTAAACTTCAGATACACGGAAACATTTTATCATGAAATAATGCTGAAAAAGTCAACATCAAGACATTAGTTTTGTGTAGTAATAGAACAAGTACAAGAAAAATTCAAAGAATAAGTAATAAAATAGCTATCAGTGCCACTATGGCCAGAGATAGGCAAGCAGGATGTAAAGGCTACAGGGGAAAGTTAAACTTGACAGAATTTTAGAGACTCAGTTGGGTGATTAACGCTCCCAGAGAGGAGGTTTCCTCAGCAGTTAATGCAAATTTCAGAATATTTTCACTTAGTTATGCCACAATCCTCTTGGAATAATTAATAAAGGCAAGTAAATGTTTACCCCGTTGTCCCACCTCGGAAGTATTTTTGGCCAGTGCAGTCACTGTGTTACGACAGCGTCTGCACCGTGCGCGCTGGATGACGAGTTCACTGGAAAATGAAGAGGAGCCCATCGCCCAGGCAGCACCAGCAGAAATCCATCTTTGACATAATGGACAGCTGTAATTGTTGTGCACCCTGCTAGACGTACCAAGTGATTGATACAATGCAAAAAGGAGGGGGGGGGAAAATTACGATGATCTATAAAGATCTTGCTGGAACAGAAAAAGAGGAAGAGAATCATTTTTAATATGATTAATATTGCTGCCGAGAGGGGGAGAAAGGAAAGAGATGGGATTTGCTCCCTGTTATAACACTCTACTCCCATGCAATACTGCTTAGCAGGAAAGCCTTCCAGCTGAGGACTATGAAACAGTTATCACTGTTAGGTGATTAAGTTACTAATTCTTCAGGGAGAAGACATTTAGAGGCCCATATTAAAGGAGAGCGAGGCAAAATTACATTCCGTTTCAATTTAGTTTAGCAATTCTAGTGATTTAGTTAAATGAAAAGCAATTGTTCCAATTAATAGTATTGAATGTTATTCATCAAAAGTGTCAAAACAGCTGTGTTGGTGCATTAGTAACCTATTCTCTTGTCAGAGATATGGATAATTCCCCGGGATCGCACCGGGGAAATGGCAGAGCAAGCAGGAGCCTGCCGAGGGAACCGCAGCCCCGCGGCGTTCACGGCTGCGGGTACGTGGGGGCTCGGGAAGGCAGGGGATGCTCCTGGGCACACCGCTCCGCCTCCCACCTCCTCCAGCACCACCCCACAGGCACGCTTTGAGGCCTTTCGGCCGGGCAGAGCAGGCTGATGCTGCTGGGGACAGCAGAAGGCCCACGGCTGCTCCCCTGCCCTCCTTCCCACCCCTTCCTCCTGCTATCCGGCAGTGAAGGGCAGGACGCCCCCTCCTCGTTTTGCCCAGAGCTGGCGTGAGGACAGCTCGGAAGCTGAGCACCCATTTTGATCCGCCCTGGATCGGTGGCAGCGACAGCCGCAGGAGCGTTTCTCAGGGAGCTCATCCATCAAAGCAGTGATTAAGGAGCTGAGAGGAAAAGTTCGGATGTAACCCCTGAATACAATGGGGTAATAAAACACAATGGTGCTGCTGGCCTGGGAATATGACACTCTGGCACAAGACAGCGCCTTCTATTTTGGGATAAACAGACCCCGGTCTGAACATGGCTGAGGGCATCCTGGAGCTCATTAATCTGTATGGGAATGACAGAGACAGGATAACAGGTCTGATAAGGGTTTCCTCCAGCCTTTTCCTCGCACCATGCAGGCCCCCGCAGCCTCCTCAGCTATCTCCACTCAATAAGGCTTTATACACTTCCTCCCAGGGCCCATAATTGCCGTCTCAGTGTGGGCGATACTATCGTCTTCCTTTCCTTTCAAATTTCCATAGCCTTTTTTTTTTTTTATGGGAGATTAGAAAATCCTGTCTTTTTTGGACTCTGTTTTCCCCAGCTGCTAAAGAAAAATAAATACATGCTGTCTACCTGAGCTGAAGGACGAGGGAAAACAAGGGCACTGCAGGCCCAGAAGGCCCCGCTGCCCCTACTGCAGCTCCCCTGCTGCTTCTCCTCACCCCAAGGGTGCCGGCAGGCTGTGCTCCAGCCTTCCTGGAGAGGCCAGGAGTGTGTGGTGTGCTCTTTGCTGCTTCCCCTTCCCCCTCGATCACTGCCGTGGATTATACCCCAGCAGTTACCCACTGCAACAGCTGGGTATGCGTGCTGGACACGAGCTGAGGTGAAAAACGCGGAGTACCTACAGCAGCTTCCATCCTAACAGCCTGAAAGCACGCAGGATACATCACCACAACTTCCTTGCTCTGTGTTTTGTTACAGCCTCAGTGCTTCAGCAACCAGGCTGCCGAAATACACCTCAAAGCCAGAGCGATGAACCAGAGCCCTCGGTGCCGTTGCACACAGGGCAAGGAGCACGCGGTGAGCACAGGCCTGGCTTGGGGAGAAATGGGAGAAACCCCCAGGAAGCACAGAGCAGTGCCCAGAAGAGCAGTGCTGAAGCTATCACGGTTTTACAGCTCAGGCTAGGGGCACAAAGAAGGCTCCTGTTCAGCAACTCTTATTTTCTCATTCGTGCTTGGGATCGTAAGACTTTAAATGCCCGCAGGACAGAGGTCACTGATAGTAAAACTCCACATTTTAACACACCCGAGTTACTGTAAGTGATGTACCTACTTTGGTGCACATGGCTCTATGGTAGCTGTATTTCAAACATGCCATATAACATTTATTACAAAGAATTAAAGAGCCCTTCATTAATTATTTGTATTACCATAGCACCTAAAGGCATTTATCTCACACAAAGCCCCCATTCAGCAAACAGAACCAGAACAGTCTGTTGAAAACTCCAAATTCAGAACCAAAAAAAAGGAAAAAACTGTACAGAAATGAAAAGAAAGCAAATAGTGTAGGAAGCAGGAGGTAAAGGAGGTAATACTCAGCACAGAAAGCACATCCTCTACCACTGGATAACTTGTGCACAGCCTGGGTGAGAAAAATGGGGAGAGATGAGGTGGGGATTGGTGCCTCCACTTGACAGTTGCTAGAAGGGGTCAGCATATCGAAGCAGAGCCCGATGAGGAGCTGCAGAAGAGCAGCAGCAACCTGCAGCTGCTAGGAAGGGAGCTCAGCATGTACCAGGTAGGCGATGGTGCCCTCTCAGCCAGCCGCCCCATGCCAGGCACTGATCTCTGCTCCCACAGCTCGCTCTCACATGTCATCTTGTCTTTTTCCCCATTGCCTGGGAAGCAGAACATGCCCTAATGTGACAGGCAGCAATTATGTGAAACAGATGTGTGTCGTGAAACATG